ATACATGGCATTTGCCAATTTCTACTGGTGATTTATATTAAAGAATTCTCTAGTCTGGTTGCATCCATAATGGCACTTCTGCAAAAGAAGGCCCAATTCACCTGGTTCACAGAGGCTCAACTGGCCTTTGATCAACTGAAAAAGGCATTCACCATAGCACCCATTCTGATTCATCCAGCTGCCATTAAACCATTTACGATCATGGCAGATGCCTTGAACTTAGCAATAGGTGCAGTATTATCTCAACATTAAGGCCCCCACAAACAACTCCACCCCGTGCCTTCTATTCTCAGAAGCTAACCACAGCAGTGAAGAATTATGATATCTGCAACAAAGAGCTACTAACATCATAGAAGGCAATCAGGTTGTTCAGGCATGACTTGCCCTTGGTGAATCCATGCTGACTGTTCCTGATCACCTTCCTCTCCTCCAAGTGCTTCAAAATGGATTCCTTAAGGACCTGCTCCATGATTTTTCCAGGGACAGAGGTGAGACTGTAGTTCCCCGGATTTTCCTTTTTCGCTTTTTTAAAGATGGGCACTATATTTGCCTTTTTCCAATCATCCAGGACCTCCTCCAATCGCCACGAGTTTTCAAAGATAATGGCCAATGGGTCTGCAATCATATCAGCCAACTCCCTCAGCAACCTGGGATGCATTGCATCCGGCCCCATGGACTTGTCCATGTCCAGCTTTTCTAAATAGTTCTTAACCTGTTCTTTCACCACTAAGGGCTGCTTGCCTCCTCCCCATACTGTGCTGTCCAGTGCAGCACTCTGGGAGCTGACCTTGTCTGTGAAGACCAAGGCAAAAAAAGCTTTTTCCACATCATCTGTCACTAGGTTGTCTCCACCATTCAGTAAGGGTCCCACACTTTCCCTGATCTTCTTGTTGCTAACATACCTGTAGAAACCCTTCTTCATACCCTTCACATCCCTTGCTAGCTGCAACTCCAATTGGGCTTTGGCACCTGCATTACTTGAGTAATATTTTTATACTCCTTCCTAGTCATCTGTCCAAGTTTCCACTTCATGTAAGCTTTCTTTTTGTGTTTAAGCTCACTGAAGATTTCACTGTTAAGCCAAGCTGGTCGCCTGCCATATTTGCTATTCTTTCTGCACATCAGAATGGTCTGTTCCTGCACCCTCAATAAGGCTTGTTTAAAATACAGCCAGCTCTCCTGGACTCCTTTCTCCCTCATATTAGCCTCCCAGGAGATCCGGACCATCAGTTCCCTGAGGGAGACAAACTCTGCTTTTCTGAAGTCCAGGCTCCGTATTCTGCTGCTCTTCTTTCTTCCTTTTGTCAGGTTCCTGAACTTGACCATTTCATAGTCACTGCTGCCCAGGTTGCCACCCACTTCTATTCCTACCAATTCTTCCGTTTGAGAGCAGCAGGTCAAGAGGAGCACAGCCATAGTTGGTTCTTCCAGCGTTTGCACCAGGAAGTTGTCCCCAACACTCTCCAAAAACTTCTTGGATTGCCTGTGCAGTGCTGTATTGCTCTACCAGCAGATGTCAAGGTGATTCAAGTCCCCCACAAGAACTGGGGCCTGTGATCAGGAAACTTCTGTTAGTTGTCTGAATAAAACCTTTTCTACCTCATCCTCCTGATCTGATGGTTCATAGCAGATGGAATTGGTGGCAAAACATTGCCATTATGTAGTAAAACAGCTTTAAGACTCGTCTTCGATGAATCAATGAACAGTCTCCACTCATCTGGATCGTAAACGATGTTGAGGGCTGCCATCACACCATCGATGTTGTTGCAGGCTACAAGATCACTTTCCATGAAGAAGAATGGGAAAAGATTTTTTGACGGTCACGGAACATGGAAACCCTAACATCACCTGCCAGGAGATTCCACTGCTGTAGTCTGGAGCCCAACAGCTATGCCTTACTCTTGAGTAGTTCCAAATCCCTGATAAGGTCATTCAGTTCACCTTGTCTTATGAGGTGTCATTCGGAGTAGGAGGATCCCACAAACGGTGGGATCTGGCCATTGATA